AGAGAGAGAGAGAGAGAGAGAGAGAGAGAGAGAGAGAGAGAGAGAGATGTGCTGCCTCTTCCTTCCTCCCTCTCCTCTCTTCTCCCTCAGCGTCTCACTTCTCCCGTTGCTTCGTTCGGCGGATTGTCGGTGAGCTGAGGAAGAGGGAGGAACGAGGAAGGGTGAGGAAAAAAGAGAATGGACGAGGTGTTTGCGGGACCGAACCCGAGCAACTAAGTGCTGCATTGCAAAGGGAGAGAAGAAGAAGACCAGAGGAGAGGAAGAAGAGATAAGGGGGTGGAGGAAGAAGAGGGGTTTTGGTGAAAGCCACTGTGCTGAGGGGAAGAGAGGCAGACGAGTAGCAAGTAAGTGCAGAGTGGCGAAAGTTATCAAGATTCCCAAAAAAAGAGTTGCACAAGAAGAGGAAGCCAAAGAGTGAGGAAGAAGAAAGAGACATCAACACCTGAACTTTGCTCAGCTGTCCGTCGTCCAAGATGGACAAAGTGGAGCGGGTGATGAAGATGGTGAAGAGGATGTCGCCGAGGAAGAAGAGGAGAGAAGGGGGAGGAGGACGGGGGGGAGGACCGGGAGAGCTGGAGAGCCCGGACACCCTGTGCGACGAACTCTGCCGCTTCAGCCTCTGCATCGGCGGTGAGGGGTCACGACGCCGCCACCTGTGTGTGTGTGTGGGTGTGTGGGTGTGTGTGTGTGTGTGTGTGGAGTTGGGTGTTTGTTCCCATATGACACCATAGCACTGGATGGATGTGTTGAGTTCATGTATGTGTGTGTTTCAAAGTCATGTGTGCATCATCTGAAAGATAATAAGAGAATGTGTGTTTCTATATGGTGAACACAGGACATGTGTTGCTTGTTTGCTTTACAGGATAAAGACAATATTATATATGTGTGTCTGTATGCCCGTATGCCTGTAAGAAAGTATTCTCTCGTGCTTCTTTTGCTCTTTGAGAAGCTTTATTTTGATGGGCCTTAAATGTTTTCTATTTGATATTCAATGACTGAAGTGTTTCAACATGTGTGCTTCCACTGGACTCTGTTCTGGTGATAGTGCTGCTTCCCTGTGAATTGATTTCAAATCTGAATACACAACTGTACATGTTTAAGAACTATTTAAAAACAAAGCTCATTCACCACCTTCACACTGCGCCACATATGAACTTTAGACGTGTTTCTTCAATCAACGTTGGCCTGGAATATAATTGCTATATCACAAGTCTTATAAATGTAACTCATAGGAGGCTGGCTGAAACAGGCACTGCATAGATGTTGAAGACATTTTCTCCTGCAGGGACAGAACACTTCCTGGGACTCTGTGTTGTTGTCTGCTTGTGTTTGCTGCATTGCCGTCCAGTCGGCTTAATTAGTTAGCGCTACCATCTAATTAGGTCTGAGCTGGCTAGTGTCGATGCTACAGTTTGTGTGGTACCTCATGTTCTTCAAAGACTTTGGGAAGTGTTTCACAGAGAGTTCATATTTTTTTTTTTATTATCCAACTCGCTTTGATCGCACACAAACAGCTCAGTGGAGCGAGGTGAAACGTGGAGAGAAGGGGCGTATACGGCGGTAAACACACACGTGTGAGAGGGGGGAGTGTGGGTATGCCTTTTTTCCTCTACCCCTCCCATATATCCCTTCTTCAAACATCTAATCTAATCACTCAGCAGAATCTGCAGCAGCGAGACTTCAAACGGCGTCAGGCAACCATCAGAGAAGCAAACGTTGCACGGCAGGCGGGGAAAGGTTGCTTTGAAAACAAGAGGGAACACGAGTATATCAAGGCAAGCATCCCAATACCCTCCTCTGGTCCAGCACAATAGATGTTTTTATTCTCACATGACATATGCTGGATGCTTTCATCTAGTGACTCACTAACGGGAGATCAGAAATGTTTAGTATGACTGGTATGAATCCAGAAGACCTGGACCGATGGATTGTTTTACTAACATGTAGCATCTCATCTTGATGCTTGATTATAACTCGGGTCTGGGTTTAGTAGAGTTAAGTTTCAAACTGAGTTCAGAAGTCTCTCGTTCCCACCAGGCGACAACCTCCAGTTCTGAAAAGTGAAGCCAATGCTTCATGTCTTAAACCTGCATTCTCTCTAGTGTCCACCAGGGGGCGACTCCTCTGGTTGTATAGAAGTCTATGAGAAAATGACTCTACTTCTCTCTTGATTTATTACCTCAGTAAACATTGTAAACATGAGTTTATGGTCTCAATCTCTAGTTTCAAGTCTTCTTCAATACAGCATGATGTTCATTTAGTACATTATGGTCCATTTAGAGTCAAACAGACCATAAAGCAGGGGATGCTTTAGGGCGGGGCTAAGTTGATTGACAGGTCACTAACACAGCATCAAAAACCAAGATGGCGACGGTCAAAATGACAAACTCAAGGCCTCAAAACCTATGGCAACAATGTCTATGGAAACAACTGGTCCCCTGTCAAGGAGTATTTACTTTTCTTTGATCCACATTCTACTCATGTAGTCCTTACTCCAAAAAAAGTGCATTCTTTTGCTGACATTGGCAACCATTCTGAAATACACTGAGAGAGAGAGGTTTTAATGGGTAGTGTGAGAGCTACGGCAGTAGTACTTAGTGAAGGGCGGGGAGCTCTTCTTCCATTGCCCCTCTCGTAAAGCATGTCATGGGTCCTCATATTGGCCTTGAAGGTTATCCGCTGCTCAGACATTACTGAGGTGTAAAGATTGCGTTTCAACTGCACACAAACTGTACCGTAGTTCATCCGGAACCAATCTCAGACCCACCTTGTACAGGTAGACTTGGGTGAACACTTTCTGGAACAGAATAGTGCCGGATTGAAAGTTAGTTCAGTGAATAGTTGTGGCATTCGAAGGTGGGCTGTTGTTTTAGAGGCATTTCCACACTGACAAATATAACTGCACGGAAAGATAAACTTTTAATACTTGGACTATCTGCAGAAGTCATTGGACAATCTGTGGTATAAAAATATCTGTGAACCATCCCAAGTCCTATCAGGCAAAGACACGCAGCACGATGCTCCTTGTCAACTGCAGGTCTTATGGCACTCTTTCTCCCCAACCCAGGGGCGTCATTAGGCCTATTTTAGGGGGGCTGAAGCCCCCAACAGCCTGTCATCATACTTAACAATATAAGGTTGACACTGTCAGGTCCATTCTCCATCCATTATGTGCGGTCCCTTTAAGAATTAGGGTTTGGGAGTGACGCGGATATGAAAGCTAGTTTATCCGTCTTTCCTTTACAAGCAGGAAAATTATTTCTCTCTTTATTTGAGAAAAGTTCATTTTTGTGCTGTTAAATTTCACTATGACCCTGAAATTCTGTCTCTTGTGTTATCATATACTGAATGCAAGCAAAACTACAGAGCAAAATCACACTCTCTCTGATTGAACCAATCTATGAACTGTCTGAAACAATGGATATCTGCGGCCCCAAATGGGCCCCAAAAAAAATTGCTACGCGCGCAAACATACCACTCCTTTTGGGGCTAAGCCCCCCCTATCTTTGAATCCTAGAAACGCCCCTGCCCCAACCCAAGCGTGCAGTAGCTGACAGACGGTTCTGGGCACATCCTGCAGTAATCTGAGAGGAAAAAAAACAGAACCATGGAACACTTTATCTATTGTCTCTGAGCACGTCTGTGTATACGTGTGGAATGTGTGTGGAGAGAAACAATGGATAGAATGGAACCTTACGGGTTGCTGGAAAACATTAACTTTGCCGTGAGACCAGGCTGGACCATCAAATACGTCTCAAGACATGGTTTTCTTCTTGCCAAAATGTGACTCAAATGAACGTCAGTAACACTATTAGCTGTCACCTTGTGCTGATTCTGAATGAGCACGGTGGATGTGCCCTGCGGCAAAAATTCAAATTGACGTCAGGCGAACGGCTTTAAACAGCCAGCATGAGGCACAGGTAGAAGGCAAGCAGCACACGCAATCTGTGGAAAACAACCACAGTGAGACAGTCTGTATGTCGACACAAGCATGAACGACTGTGTGATCAAGTGCAGGAGCATGATGTTAACTAGCTGCAAACAAGTCAGCCCCTTCACCGTCACACATTCTACATCTGTGGAAAACAATTTAGTGTTTTTCTGAAAACACTGATGTCCATTACACGATAAAGTTTGATTTGAAAGGATGTCTTGGGTGTAACAATGATCAATAAACATGTTTTTAAAATCAAACAGCATTTCTAAAAAGACAGTAGTGTCCAATGGTATTTCCATCTTTAACAAAACATAAAGAGTTTTATGGATCACCTCAAATCTTGTGTACAATCCTTTTATTTTGCATATTACTAAATCCAGCAAATAACGGACAAAAGCAAAGAACTGCTTATAAACCGGGTGGATTAGGTTGGAAACAAACACAAGGACTGTTTAACAAAAAACTTTGTTGAACCAGTCGTAGAGTTTACCCAGGTGATACTTTAATAGGATCGGGTGTGTGTTTGTGAGTGACTGTGAGAGTACAAGACATCCCTTCAGCCCACTCATATTGTCAAACCCTACCAGCTTCGGTTTTGTGCATGTTCTGGATCCTAAATATACCCCAAAGCTGCTGAGCCTCTGCATTATTTCCGTGAGAGACAATTTCCATCTCAAATCTGCATCTCTTAATTACGCCTCGTGCACTGAAATCATCAGTTCCACAGTTAGAAACTGCAGCTGAACTACTGCAGCAGCTGACAGATAATGCAAACTAGATGTGCCATCGAGGTGGGAAGTTACCATCAGCCGAAAGTCAAACACTGCACCAACAGTCAAAGCTTCACCTTTTCTGGAGGAGCTGCAGATAAACAAACCCCGCATTACATTTCAGACGTGCTCCGAAAAGACATTTAACTGGCACCCGGTGACCTTTTCTTTGAACCTGCAGGTATCCTGCAGCATATCTAAAACAACAGAGAGGAAAAACTGCAATACGAACGCTCCTATTGCCTTAAGTTGCCCATCAACATTAACCTTTCCAAACTTTAAACCACTACTTTCTGCGGCTGTGCTTGAATTCCACACGTCTTTATTTTCACCTCATCTACATACCTTTTATGTTTCGTGACTGCATCTCACATGGTAGTGAAGCTGTCGAGGGGGAAAACAATCCGTCCACAGACGGACAAACGTATATTTTAAACACCTGGCAAAGTACTCCCCACCTCTTCTGTGGTAGTTGCCGTAACAGTCGGTGGTCTCCATGATGACTCACACACAGACTCACAAAGTCAAAACAACACAAGCCGGCAACAAAGAGACGGCCGACCATAAAAGGGTCATTTTGAAAGAAACGTTTTTTGGAAGATGCCACCGAGAAACTGCTGTTCGGCAAAAGGGGATGGCGAAAAAAAAGAAAAACAGTCTGGAGGTCTTTCTGAATGCACTAAATATATGCCGTGTAGTTCAATAACCTTCACTGACTAATGAGGAAATAAAATGTGGTGAAGTAACATTTAATGCACCACCCTCGTACATTACCTTGCTACATCTTTTGAGGAAAAGCTATGCTACCGTTACCATCAATAACCCCCAACGCAGGAAACATAACTTCTGTTCATTTGAAATTAACCTTTTCCAGTTTGTGCTCCCTTCATATAATCAGTTTGGGGCGGAGAAAATGTGTCTCT